TTTGGTTTTCTTCTTTTTTTTTTTTTTTTTTTTTTTGGGGGGGGGGGGGGGTTCCCAGCCCACACAAACACAGCAAAGGTTAAACCAAGGCAACAGGAAATACTATTTGCCTTGTCTTTGTGATGGGCAACACAGCCCAACCCCTCTGATGTGAACAAACCCATAGTGCTGTGTGTTTTTTTTCTTTCCTTTTTTTTGTGCAGCTTGTCTGAGGCAACATTTTTTTTTTGATTTGTGTTCTGTAGAATGTAATTTAATAGAGGGTGAGGATCATGTTGAGGTGAATGGGGAAATTTTCCAGAAGCCCTTTGTGGAAAAACCAGTGAGCGCAGAGGACCATAATGTTTACATCTACTACCCAACATCTGCTGGAGGTGGGAGTCAAAGACTTTTCCGAAAGGTAAGCTGCTTAACTTCACCCTATTCTATGTTGACGTGTACCCAGTGCAGCTTTATTTGACTCACTGCCGGGTTACCTTGCAAATTGTTTTTGTTACATGATCCACTTCCAATTCACCAGTGACAAATCCAGCACTTGCGGTAATGGGGAGACAGTCCTGCTGTCATATGGGGAGCAGGGGAGAGTGTGCTTGGTCACAATATGCATTGGGATTTCTGGCAGTTGATTGGGCAAGTAATAAATACTGGCAAGGTAAAAGTGGGCACCTTAGAGTTTCTGAAACACGGCCTGGCACTAAGTGCAGGTTTAATTATTTGGCTTTGCAAGTTCAGACCTTCATGGGCTGTTGTGTTGCTCAGTAATTCAGCCACTAGTTGATGATGTGTTGCAAAAGCGCAATTTCAAAAAGTGTTTAGTATCTTGAAAATAAAATAGCTCATCTAGCTTAACCTAAGACCTACCGACCATGCTGCAAATGTTTACATTTTTAACCTATTAAGTTTGCCAACTTTCTGTTACAAATGCTTTTTGTTTTTAGATTGGTAGCCGCAGCAGTGTATACTCACCTGAAAGCAGCGTCCGGAAGACCGGTTCATACATTTATGAAGAGTTTATGCCTACTGATGGCACTGATGTGAAGGTATAGTGGGGATAACAAAACATACATTAAATAAAATGTCAAATTGTCTGCCACTTACTTTAATGTTGGCTGAATCAAAGATTTCTTACACCATCCAGTTTCATGTGAAGCACATTTCTTATGCTGCTTAGGCACACAGTAAGTCTTTCCACATGTAGCAGCAGTCACTGAAATTTACTATTTTATTTGTGTGTTACCAAGGTTTACACTGTGGGACCAGATTATGCCCATGCTGAAGCTCGGAAGTCTCCCGCACTTGACGGCAAGGTAGAACGGGACAGCGAAGGAAAAGAAGTCCGGTATCCGGTCATCTTAAATGCCAGAGAGAAACTGATAGCTTGGAAAGTGTGCCTTGCTTTCAAGGTGATTACTTGGGCTGTGTGAATCCTATGACATGCACTAAGCATTATCACTGTATCATTTTTAGGTTTTAAGAACCTATCAGTGATCTGTAGTTTACTTTATTAATGGACAGCTATCATTAAATAGGTGATTTTGAAGATGCACAATAATGCACCCATTGCAAGATCACCTAAAATTGCCTATTGTCAAAATCTGGAGCAGTTGCACATGGTAACCAATATTTACATTCAGCTGCTGTCTACAAAATCTTGCCACTGGCAGCTGTCATTCCCAGGCTGAAGCTATTCCAGCGCAATGTGCTTACAATACAATTATTAAAAGAAGAATTATAAAAAAAGAATTATAAAAAGTAGGATTAAGTCATTTTCGGTTTCGACCTGACAAATTCTGCTGCGGGAGGTACATTGCAGTGCCATTCATTTCAATGGCACCCCGAACGCGCCACCCACCCTTAGTGTGATCGCCTGCAATGGAACGCACGGTACCGTGATGCCGTGCGTTCCAGTGCAGTGCGATTTGCAAAAAATTGTGCATGCAGTTTTATTCTGAAGTAAACTTTGTAACACTGCATTGGTGTATTTTATTTTTAATTAAGGATGTTTTTTTTTTAATTTTATTCGATTTTTCTATTTTTTTTTATTCGATTAATCGAAAAAATTATTGGCCAACTAATTGACTATGAAAATAATCATTAGTTGGAGCCCTACTAGGGAATGTGGTGCTGACATTTCAATTGTAACAAAATTTAAAATGTGCACTTCCCCCTTCTGAAGACAGCAGCGATACACACTAGTCATATAGGCTGGTTTCTTCATGGCACAGTTTAGTCTCCTGCTGTGCTGAGATGAGCCCACATGCCTTCCAACATTAAAGAAGAAATATGGGGCAACCTTTTTTGCCCATAGTTCTCTTCAGGGTCACAGGAGGACATATACGTATGTCCTCCGGTGACCCAAAACTCTGTATATAGCGGGCTATTGCCCGATATATATGCTGACAACCCCACAGCCGTGAAAGATCTGACAATACTGATGAGATCCACCCAGCTGGTTGATTGACAGCTGGCTCTGCCCGCCCCCTCCGCTCTCCGTTCCTCCAGCCAGTGCTGGAGAAACAGAGAGGGGAGGGGGAATCCCTGCAGGGAGCTGTGACTAACAGTCAGCGCTCTCTGCAGGGAGGGGATCGGGAAGTTGGCGATCGGCAGTATGTGTTCACTGAATTCCTGATCAATAGAGCTGACCTGTGACAGCTTCAGTGTCACAGGTCGGCTTGAATTATGGGGGATAAGTGTTTTTCACTCACCTCATATTTCTCCTTTTTAAGGGAGTTTTTCCAAAAAGGCTCCCTAAGAAATGGGGCCCTCCTCCTAATGCACTGGTGCTCAGTGGCTTTTTTGATTGGTTGGGTAAAGTTGCTGGCAATTTCTTTAGCTTGAAATAGAAAATGCATAATTACATACATGAATATACTGTATAATAAATGTTCCTTGATTTTTATTGTTTTTTTTCAGCAAACTGTTTGTGGATTTGATCTGCTTCGTGCAAGTGGCCAGTCTTATGTGTGTGATGTTAATGGATTTAGCTTTGTAAAGAACTCTATGAAGTATTACGATGACTGTGCAAAGATCCTTGGGTAAGATTTGATTATTTCTCCAAAAGCAGAACTTTGCATAAGGTAACTTTAATGTTCCCCTTAAACCTGTGTGTGTGTGTGTATGTTTGTCTGTGTGTACGTGTGTGTGTGTGTGTGTGTGTGTGTGTATATATATAGATAGATATAGATATATAGATATATATCTATATAGATATAGATATATATCTATAT